ACTGATGTTCACAAGCGTTATATACTATAATTTTTCTACGACTGCAATTTGCAATTTGGTTCAGAAACCAAAAAAATGGGAGTCTTATTTTACACACATTTGGAAAAGGCTTGGAATAATAGACATAGTCTGACAGTCATAAAAAATAAACTTTGGAATAATTTGTAATTTTAATCTTTTTGCTGCAAATATTATAGTTTTCTTTTAATCATTTGTAGGTACAGTGCCACAGACATGTTAGAAGATTTACGCCAAGAACCCTCATGCTCTTTTAAAAACTTTTGTCGAAAGGTTTCCGAAAGATTCCCATTAATGTATTTTTTTTTTTTTTTTTTTTTTTTTTTTTTTTTTTTTTTTTTTTTTAAATCTGCGATTGAACATTTTACGCTCATTTGCTCTTCAATTCGCCTCCAGGCATCATGAACTAAGTTTCTGTTTTTATGGTTTGGATCCCGTGGGTTCCAAATAATCGGCTCGGCTTCATAAAATGATAAAAATTCTAACACCACTTCGTTAGACCACTCCATGCTGAAAGTTACCACGGCACTGGTAGTACGACGCTCCTAGCCGCGCCGTTGGAGCTGTAAGCACGTGTGGCGCGCCAACGTCCGCGCCCCTTTGAACCGTGTTGATTTACCGACAGACGACGGGACTCATCGCGCCGACCGAAGATTGGCAAGCTTGCCCTATCCAACGGAGCGGGAACTGGCAAGTTTGGCGCGTGGAGTGCCATTCCACGCGCCGTTGGATCCCGGCTTTAGAAGTAAATATTTTTGGGGAATTTTATCAGTGGAAAAAGCTGTATATAAGGACAAAAACTGACAGCGTGTAATTCCTATAATATCAAAATTGTAAAGTTTATTGTAATAAGCAGTTAGTAACTTGTTTTTGTTTAGTTTTAGGTTATTAGCATCAAGATTATTCCATATGTCTTCATGGTCAATTAATTTAAATAAGTGTCTAACTTGAGCAGCCCAATTATATTTTACTTCTCCAGAGTTAATCAGATGAAGCTGTCTATTAAAACAAAGCTTTGGATATCGATTATCATTCATACTTAAGATTTTATGCAGCCAGTTTAAAGTCATTTTGAATATATTATAGGAATATTTAACTCTGCCAGTTTCTAATCTTATTGCGCAGTCAGGTGTATTGATAGGCACCAATAGCATCCTCTTCAGAAAAGTTATTTGAACCCTTTCTAACACCAAATACCTTAGACTCCACACAGGGGCACAATTAGACATTATGCTAAGAGCTAAGGATTCAAACAACTTTATCCGATGATACCATGTGTCCATTTTAGCTTTGGCCATAACCGGCAAAATTGCCCCTATGGCTTGCTTACCCTTATCTGAAGCTGATAACGACATTTCGTGAAACAAGCCAGAAGATGTAAATGTGACTCCTAAATATGTATATTTATTTGTAAAATTTAGATGTTGACCGTTAAATTTGAAAGGGTAGTTATTTTTTTGAAAACCTCCTCTAGAAAATGACATGATTTTAGTTTTTTGGATGTTGACGGTAAGGTCATTTAAAGAGGTATATGTTTCTGTATCATATGCATTTCAAATCTACACAAGCAATTTCTAAAATTATATTTGACGTATGTAGAGCGATCTGGGATCATTTGTCACCAATTCAGTTAAAAATTCCTGATAATGAGGGGTGGAAATGCATTGGACTTTGAAAAGCTATGGAAGTATCCCAATTGCATTGGAGCAGTGGACGGAAAACATGTGGTTAAACAGGTAAAGTGTATTTTTTTATAATATACAGTAACGTTTGTTTAATTTATTTATAGTTTATTTATTTAAAACACTATTTACAATTTATTTATTACAATTTGTCTTTACTGTTCAACACTTAAATTCAATCTTCCCGTCTGTCGACAACTCGCGCTATTTATATAAAGCCAGAACACTAGCCGACCTAGAATATTCGAAAACTCTCTATATCTCATAAGCCGCAAAGCGATCACTCCGGCAGCTTCGAGAAGCAGTACGATTGTCTCGATAAGGCAAGCGCTAGACTTCCTGTCGCGGTACGGTAATAAACAAAGCACAGGGTTGGCTTTGTGCCCCCTCCTTAAGAAATAGTTTCTTCTGGAACTAAAACTGAATGGTTGAATCTGTAACTAGATCCTCTTTTACAATTTCCAGTTGCATGGAAGTAACAAGGGACGGTTTTTATTGAAACCTGGACTCTAGACGAATGGCTGCAGATCAGTATTCGGACCTCGGAATCTTGGAAGAAAACTTCCAGCATGTTTCTAATGATCCTCCAATTTAGATGGTTGCCCTCTATCCTTGGCATGACTAGTTTCTGTACATTGGACTCCATGTTGAGTGGATCGATCGCGGAAGGTGTTCTTTGTTACCAGATAGAAAAGGCAACGCGATCCATCTTGAAGTTTCAATGCTTTTCCAGGGGCTGGTAACTGATCTTGAAGTTCTGGAAATCGACCAAACTTCTTCCGGAACACAGATGCCAGACCTCGAGCGTCGTTGATGTTGGCGGAAGTGTTATGGACCAGCGAGTAGTCTTTAGGAACCGTGAGCAGATTTGTTGTCGCTCGGTTGTAACACCATATCTTGCTTTTCCGGTACCTCCATATATGCACCCATAAATTCTTCAAAGACAAGGTCAGGTGATTCTTGGAGCTGGTTCACTTCTTCCTCGTCATGGTTACCCTTAAATGGCGTCAGCCGGTTTTGGTGAACTACTTTCGGTTTACCGTTCGGGATTTTATACGATAAATAGCATCATTAATTTTTTTCTTGATGAAGTACGGATCTTCTCAAGACCCTTGAAGCTTTTTTGGTTATGGAGCCAAACTGTCGCCTTCCTTGAAATATCCTTTCTGTGGCTTGGGTATCGTATCGCTTCTTCATTCTGTCGCTGGCGATTTGCAGGTACGAGCGAACTAACTCATGCATCGTCCATTTTTCATCGTAGTTGGGTCATATAATTTTCACGGGCTGTCTTCTCCAGGTCGGCATCCCAACTCGAGGTCACACGGTAGTCTCATCTCACTCCCGAACTGCATCTTTGCTGGTGTTTAGCCTGTAGATTCATTGACAGCGGATCTATATGCCATTGCGAAGAACGAAAGATACTCATCCCAATCTCGCTGATGGTTGGAAACTACTTTTGACAGGTATTTGCCAATAGTTTTATTCATTCGCTCTACCATTCCATCTGACTGTGGGTGCAATGCCGTAGGTAGTTCTGGTTTTCTTCATGCCTAGTTTGTCACAGATTCCTCGAAAAAGCTGGCTTTCAAAATTTCTACCTTGGTCACTGCGGATCTCCAAAGGCACTCCAAATCTTCTGATGAATTCTTTATTAACACGTCTACAACAGTTGCGGCCTCTTGATTTGGAATGGCGTAGACTTCCACCCACTTCGCGAAATAATCCATAACCACCATCATGTATTTATTACCATTCTCGGTTAGCAATATCTAAGGCAATCCTCTCGAATGGGCTACCGACGTTGTATTGCTTCATGAGGACCTTCCTTTTTCGTTGGGGTCCGTTACTCATAGCACAGGTGGTACATTTCTTACATCATCGGAACTGTTCATCCAATAAAACCTTTCACACACCGAGATGTAAGAGGTAGAATAATTTAAGTCTAAAAATACGTTATTTTATATATTTTTTTAGAAAGATATATGGATTTTATTTCACATTTTTTGTTTTTGTAAATTTTTGCAGTTTTTATATTTATATTGGTTTATTTATTTAAAATTTTCTGTTTTGAAATAAATGTGTAAACATTTTAACATTCTTTGGATTTTATGCTATTTGTTTTCTACAATTTGATGTAACTTTAGGTAAGCCCAGAAGACAATGTACGTACATAGTTTAATTTGCCTTTGCAGGTAAAAACCTTTTTCGGAGACAACTCGAGGCCATAGTAAGTAATATGGTACTAATCTTGTATTATCTACTGTGTTATTCAAAAATTTCATGAGCTCATAAAATTTGAACGATGGTTTTGGTAACATATCCTCTAATCCAGAACCACTGGGTACGAACGAATTGAGAACCTCCTCCTTTTTTGAAGTCGCTTAAAAATAAAAACTCACTTTGATGTTCTACTGGTCTATTTCACCATGCAATCTCCCTAAAACCTGCTAAATTATTTATCTACAACTTTAGTATTTACTACCTAACAAATAAAGATCCAACACATTACTATGCTGGCCAGATAATACAATTGCACAGTTTTTATTTGTGGGCAGATTTTTCAATTATTTTTCACTGAAACAGATATGTTCCACGTAGTCCTCACAATAGGAATGTATACAAAAGTTGCAGTACGCACATTGGTACTGAACTTGGCTCGACATTGTTAAAAATAACTTTTTGACAAAAGTAAACAAAAATTTTAAAAATGCACAGTTCACTGAACCACAAAACTCGTATACAAAATATATACAAAAATGATACAAAACAACAACTTAATCTCAATCACGCATAAAAAGTTAAAATTGACCAACGTGTCAATCCGTTGTGACCTTGAAACGTGCGTGATTTTATTCCCTAATATTTCATTTATTGATATTGATCACGTGTTATATACACGCACCACACTCGCACATATCATTGGGAAAATAGTCGAAACGGATTCAGGGGACCCCAAAACGTAAAAATCCGTCGAAAACTCGAGGTCTAAAAAAAACGCATTATTCCTTATAAGTTCCTTATCTGCATACACTATACAGATAGGTTATATTGCCTAATATTAGATTTTATTGTATTATGTTTTTTTTTTATTTATTTAAAAATACCTGGCGATGCTTGGTGCGTTTGTTCTATTGCACTCTTACTCATTTAAGACGCATGGGTGCCACGAAGAGGGCATTATTTATAGCCATAGATATAGAAACGCGTAGCTTTAATTCCAGCACATTTATGGTCATTAAGAAAAGGGTTGTTACTTTCAATAGGAACTTGAAATTGAAATATTCTATACTGAATGTTATATAGGGAAAACATATAAAACAATTTTTATTTTCAAAATAGTACAAAATTATTCGAATTTTATGCCTTGCGCCAGAGGTAGATCCTTAGAATGGTTAATTGTGATCGTAGATCTTCTCATATATTGTTTCCAAGCGTCACTTCCAGATTCTCTGCCTCCTCCTGTAGCCTTTTCTCCTCCAAAGGCCCCACCAATTTCAGCTCCTGACGTGGGAATGTTAACATTGACAATACCACAGTCTGAACCCTTTGGTCCAATCCACTAAATAAAAAATATATTGGTTACAAACTTAATTAAATTCACCTAGAGATACGCTCTCTTATTATTATTATTCCACAAAAACATCACGTGCTGGATATGTGTTTTCGTATAGAGCCAATTATTATTTTCTAGATTATACTTGGACAACTACAACAATAATAAAATTAATGAATTGTGTAAATTTTAGAATAGTAACTGAAAGTTTTGTTTTCTATTTTGTACCTCCAAATTAGCACCAAATTATTATCTATAATATATTTTTATTTCATAGGTTTCCTACTCATATTTGTTTACAAAATTAAATAGTTATTTATTATACAAGGGAAAAAAGTATTAGATTTTAGCTCGAGAGCTAAAATCTAATATTTTTCCCGTGTATAATACACTATTTTTTTCTGTGATGGGAAAAACGACGATTTAATATTGAAAAAAATATTCAAGGGTAATATACCAAGACCTTGATAATAGTCAGTTATTTTTGTTGAATCTAAATCTCGAGAATATTTTAATATCAATTTGATGAGACATAATTTTTGGCATTAATAATCTGATTAGAGCCGGAGAGCTTTAGCTCGAGGGCTTTAATTAATTGATTATTAATGCCAAAATTATGTAGAATCAAATTGTTAAATGTTCGCGAAATTTAGCAATAACAAAAATAGCAGAATATTAATCGAGGTCGTGTTATATTTGGGACGACTATTTTACTAGACCAAATATTGACTATTTCTCTAGAGAAATAGTCGCTGATATTTGCTCTAAAATATCTACCTTTACTTATGTGTATATATATCCAGGGAAACACTTTTTTCCGGGAAACGGGGAAAAAGTAATTTAATAAAAAGTGACATTTTGTTACCTGATAAGAGAGATAAAATGTAAAACTTTTTTCCCATCACAGAAAAAACTCATTTATAATTATTCTTCTTTAGATAAAAAATGTTTGGCCTTTTTTTATTTTAAACTTTTATCCTTTGCCCAATCTAATAAATCAACTTCTACGTTCGGGATGATTTCAAAGGTAACGTATTTAAACGAACACACTGTATATATAGACATTTTGTCCAAGAAAATAAATGTTTACCTCGAATATATTTCCTATATTCTGAGTGAACAAACTGGAAGACAATCCTTGTGGTACCTCGTTGTTCCATGAAATTGCCTGCTCGACATTATCTGCTTTTAAAACGTATACTATTGGTGCAAAACATTCATTGTGAAGTAGGGGATTATCGTGTGCCAGTCCAGTTACTATGGTAGGTTCAACAAAGAATCCTGGTTTATTAAGAACCTAGAAGAAAATTACATCTATTAAACGAAGTATTTTACAAAATAGATGCAATATATGGCGTAAGTTCTATTACAAGCATCCAAAAGACTCTATAGTTAGAATTTACTTATACACACTTACATTTCCTCCAAATTCAATTTTTCCATTTTGCTTTTTAATTGCGGAAATCGTGTCTACGTAATTTTGAAGGGACTGTTTACTATGGAGTGGTCCTACTAGTGTATTACCTTCTAAAGCATCTCCTATCCTATGTAGAACTTGACCATAGGCTTTTTTCAATCGTTCTAAAACTTCATCATACACCTGCAAGAAATAAAAAATATTTTGAAGTTTCTTTACTTTTTCATAATTTTTTACATTTTCTAGGACATTTTATTTTTCGTAATACCCTGCTATAGGAGTTATCCTCCTTTTAAGGGTGGTTTGCCCTGATTACAATATATTAACCTATGTTTCCTAAGTGTAGAGTGGCGGGGCTAATTGATCTAAGTGTCAAAAATCGTTTTCTCAGGAAAATAAAAAACTGTCCCTCATTGAAAGCTAACAAATTTTTATATGTTTAACATGAACAGTCAAATATAACATGAATAATTTAAAGAAAAATAAAATATGTGCTCTCTTGGAAGTGATCTATCTCCATGATCCTTATCAGTTTTAGGCATCTAGCATTTTTCTAAAAAACTCCTGGTTCTCCTCAGTTAAATACTCGAAGTCTTCAAGGTACTGCATTAGGTAAACTTGACAGTTCAGCTGACCTGATATGGTGAACGTTGTATGCCTTTTTCAGTACACGACATCTCTCCCATTGCAACAACTCACTAAAACTATTTTTGTAAAACACCACTCGCGGATCATCTTTAGTGATTCACAACCACGACGCCTGGCTAATGTCAAGTTTTGAGGTGTCAATACTGTCAATGTATTTGGAAGGGGCGCTTTCAAAATTAATAAAAACATTTTCTCCCATATCTAGTACCGTGAAGGGATGTGTCGGTCTTGCAGTAACGATATATTTCTTTACGTCTTCAATATTATTTGATTTTGAAACTTCCATGTTTCTCTACAATGGCAAAGTCATGATCTAAAGCAGAGAAACTGTGTCCCGAAGTTAAAAATTTATGATCAATCGTGTCGAACTTGCCAGTGGCCACGAGGAAAATGAACAAAAACAATAACATCCGATTCTTTAACTGCCCAGCACAGTTATCACTAAATACGCACAACTTGCGTTTATAGGTGGCAAGAGTCCATTGGTTTCCTGGTTTCCACCTCGACCAGACTGCCCTTCGTGCCAGAGGCACATAATTCCATCAGCAGTGTCACTAAAATGGATGACGAAGTTGTAGCACGACAATTGGCGACTATAATACTTACTAGTGTGGGTAAGTTTAGGGAAGGCAAAAACTTTTTGTAAGTCTATAGTCACGGTACAAGTGTCGCTTTCTGGTAAAGAGCTATTTTCAGCATCCTGCTTTATAGCTTTTGAACACATTTTCCACCTATCTGTGGTGCAATTCAAGATGAGTTTTGGCTTGATTTGCAATAGTGAGGTCTGTGCATTTCGATTTCAAGTAGAGGGAGACGCACGTCTTGCACGTGTCAACTCGCGGTTTTCTAAAAGATAACTTGGGAAATTCCTTTATAAAAACTGATCGATAAAATAATGGCAGGATTCGACACGTTTCTGTTTAGGCATTCGTGGTACTTAGATCTGTTAGACGTGCAACGGATCACGCTCTTAGCAGCTGAACACCTTTTGACGGCCTATAAAACGAAAAGTAAAGCGCATTAGCACTTAAATTATATATCTATGCATTGGCCTTGGCACAGATTATTTTGGTGAAAAAATCCGGAATCACGAAATTTTGGCACTTAGATCAATTAGCTCCGCCACTCTACAAGTGTTGGCGCGTGGGACCTGTGTGGCAGGTTGTGTTCCCGAAATAATATCGCCGATTTGGCTATTTACAACCTTATATATGAACAAGTTCATAGTATAAGATAGGAAATATGATTTAGGGCAATCACAAAACTGTACAATAGATGACATGGCTAATTATATGATTGGGAAAGGTTTATATAATAGATAGTGGAGCTGAGTCCAGCAGATCCTGGAGTTCAGCGGTAAGTGGGAGGTCTTGGGAGTCTCAGAGTAGTCTTAAGTTAGATTGTGGGAGTTTTCTTTTCGGTTTTCGAAATAGTAGGAGGCGGCATGGGCGCCAAGTAGTTTATAAAGTGTCCTTTCAGAGTGGGAGAGGCATATTGCTTCCTGTGGGTTTGGAAACGTGTGAGACTAGGGGTGCTGGGGATGTTTTCGAAAACTTCTCTGCTGGGAGAGCGAAAGGGAAGATGTTGGCATCGTCGCAGTATACATCTCTCGAGTATAGTGAATTTGTGGACAAGATGTGTAGGAAGTACGCTGTAAGGTACTGCTCTATACTCGGCAACGAGGCGGATAAAAGAATTGTGTGAATTAAAGTGTTTGGGTTGCATCTTCCAAATTGTCCACACAAAGCCCAAAGTAGGCTGACTCGTTTTCGCATCTTATCGGGAGAGCGTCAGAGAACTAGTTTGAGTGTAAGAGAGAATCGTACTCCCAAATAGTCAACTTCCCTTTGTTGAGCGAGTCTGACTCCCAGGAGACGTACATTGACGTGTTGTGGGATCTGAGTGGCTCTTATGGAGCTCGTATGTTTAAAGATGATAAATTGTGGATTAAGGGAGACTTTTGATCTGCCACATCAGTGAGAATACTAGTGAGGTGAATGGGCCTGACAGGTCGTTGCCTACTTTGATCGTGATTGTTGTCAGTGAGGTAAGAGTAAATGAGTTTGAAGATGCCGAGGGGGAGACTTATTTCATGAGCTTTTTGACTAGTCCAACATGCCAGACTTGGTCAAAGACTTTTTGAACATCTAGAAGAACGGCTGATGATATTGGTTGGGAGTTTACTGCAGTGATCGAAGTAGTGTGGAGAGAGGATGTTGCGTTGTTTTTGTCGGTGGTTGTGTGGCTTACACCGTCGATTTTGATGTGGGAGTAAGTTTTTGATTTTTGACAAGTGATAAATCGGAATTTGTCCCAAAACTTGGAACCATCTCTATGATCCAAATTAGAGGTGGTATTGATCCATTGTTGTTGTTTGTGTAAGTTAGTATAGATCCTGATCAGTGCGTTGAGACGGTTTCATTTGGTTTTGATGACAGGGTCGTCGGTACGGACATATTGTGTATATAATCGGCGTTTTTGGAGAATGAGATTTGAGATGAATTGGAGGAGGGCTGAAGTTTCGACGGCGTGGAAGATGGTGGTTTGAACTTCGGTTACCAGTGTGTCGATGTCCTGTGTAAATGGAGCGGACGCTGCTTTGGAACATTTGCAGAGATAGTTCGCTGAAATAGTGACAATTTACTAACAATGACGAAATATAGTTAACATCCAGTGATTAAGAGGGCAAGCAGGATTGAACATTTGTCTCTTTCACCCGACTGTTTTTATTTTAACTCCTTATTTTAATACCAAATCTTTGTCACCCAAACATCACCTATCAAAAATAATATTTAAAATCTAATGCCGTTTAATATAATATGTCTTACTTTCTTGTGTAGGATAAGTCTTCTTGTACTCGTACATCTTTGTCCGGCAGTTCCAACACATGCAAAAAGGGTGGCTTGAACAACCATATTTAGATCAGCATCTTCTGCCACTATTATTGCGTTATTTCCTCCAAGTTCGAGTAGTGCTTTACCAAATCGTTTTTGAACTTCTACTCCAACCTTAAAAAAACAATAATTATTGATTTCAGTTTAACTAGATTATCAAATATTTGAGTCCATCAAACTTATATCTATTATGTGAACCTTAGAAATCAGAGGGTAGATCTATCTTTTAAATTGAAAAAAAATTATATTTCTCACCTGCTGGCCTATGTGGCAGCTACCAGTAAAAGATAACAATTTTACTCTCTTATCAGCAGCCATTGCTTTACCAACATCGGCACCGCCACAACACAGTGAAGCAACCGCTTTCGGCAAATTGTTTTTTTCTAAAACATCTGATACAATCTTCGTAGTAACTATAGCTATAAGTGGGGTGGTTTCAGCGCTCTTCCATAGAACAGTGTTACCACAAACCTAAATAAAAAATCTGATAATTTGTGTTTGAGAGTATCTATTTCATAAATTCAGATATTTTGAAAGAACAATAAAGAATTCTGTCGGATTTCAAATGATGTATCACGTGGCAGTTATTTTTAAATTCACATGTAGGGAGGCAATTAAAAAAAATATTGGGCATTTTAAATCTAATAAATATTTTCAAATATCTTTCATTGCTTATGGTTAATTAAAATATATATTTATTTATTATACCATTGCTATCGCACTGTTCCATCCGTACACTGCAATAGGGAAATTAAAAGCCGAGATAACTCCTATGACTCCCAGGGGATTCCACCTTTCCAGAAGCACATGTCCTGGACGTTCTGAAGGAAAAATTGAACCAGCTAGAGTTCGTGATAAACCAACAGCGTAGTCACAAATATCCACGTATTCTTGAACTTCTCCTATACCTTCTGGCAAAATTTTACCTAAAAATTACCACAAAATATGTTAACATTGGATCGCGAATATCTTTCATTTGTCTAAATATTTCATATACAGTGTGTACCAGATTCGTTTCTCTATTCGCTCCATGCGCGACAACAGCGCCAATTTATTTAGGTACTAATGGACTATTTCTGCGTATACTGGCAATACAATTTTTAATAGAATTCGTAATTAAAAAGTATATATGTTAGTTTTAATAAAAGTATATGGATTTGTAAAACAAGTAAAACATTAATTTTTTATTATTATTATTATATATTTTTATCGCTTAAATTAAAAAAAAAATAAAGTATAATCAATAAAAATAAATAATAAAATTTAGACAGTCAACAGTATTTACGGAAAAATGTAAGAGAAGTTGCCTAAGTCTAATAAGATGTTTTTGAAGAATTAACCTATTCTGTCAAAATAAAAAAATACAATTAAATAATAGCGTGAAGTTAAAATGTATAAACAAAAGGATTGTTATTTATATTTTCATTTTTGTTCGAAAGAAAACGGAATTAAAACTGGTTTCCTATCAGTAAGTCACAAAATTTCATTCCAGCCACATACAATAATCAAAGGCAGAAATCTTGAAATCTAGTCCTTGGTGAACATTTAAGAATATGGGGATGTTGAAGAACATCGTAAAATGATAAGTTATTGTTTATTTAAAACCTTTTAAGTTTCTGATGTCTACTGACTTTGCCCTTCAAGAATATATGTATGAGGTTATACTGGGTATTTTGGAAGTTTAAACCAATTTTATATGAGAATCGTACTAGGTTCAACCCTCTGTATATTTCAAAATAAAACAATCGAACATCAAAATTTTTTGATGAATAATTTTTAATGATAGTCTACTTTTATAAGAATATACTAATTTTTTCCTAGCGCAACAGACGTGTACAGGGTGAGTCAAAACTCAGATACCATGATTTTCTCAATTTTTTTAAAATGTAACACCCTGTATTTCATATCACTACTAAAAAGTACTCTAATTATACGTTCGTTTGAGTTAAATATTGCCTATCCCTAAACACAATAGTTTGGCGAGATTCTTAAATGAAATGTTAAAAAGGATTAATTATAACTAAATTCACAATGTAATTTGATTTAAACTCCTGTTAAATATTACATACTAGATACAAGTTAATCAGTTTATATTTTTAAGGTACTTGGTACAATTTTTTATCAACTGAATTTATTTTTTGGGACCTTTACAACTTTTTATATAAAATGCAATGAAAACGCTAAAGAACTTCAAATTTTTTTTGTGCATTAGGTCAAGTGGGCTTTGAAATTCATGCCAAAAGAATAATATGACAGTTCCGAATTAGGCATTCCAAACAAATGAATTGTCAGTGGGAAGATTTGGTATATCTAAGGGTGGCGACATACGGTGTATTCAATCTACTTTACGTAAAATCATGAATAATGGATTACATTTAAATATTTTATGTCAAACACAATAAAAATTATATTTAAAAAACCCACCTATACATTTCTTCATAAATTGGCAGGCTTGGAGACTACTACTTCGAATAAAAATAGCGTCCAGGTTGCAAGACTATGTCGCTACCCCCTTAGATATACAAGAATTTCCCACTGGCACCCTATTGTTTGACAGGTCGTTGGAATGCCTAATTGTTTAAATAAAAAATAAAATTACGTTTAGTGTTCACAAGTATTTACATTTATTGATTTGACTAATTTAAAAATGAATTTTGAAACGAATTAATTGACTGATATGAGTTTAGTGCTAGGAGCTAGTGATGACAATTGCTTGTTGGTAACTAGAATTTATAAGCAAAAATATCCTGATCGCCGACAACCTCGTAAAGAAATTTTTGAAAATCTGTTGGAAAGATTCAAACGTACAGGTAATGTAGCATATAAAAAAAAATGATAAGAAAAACGAATTTTAAATGAACAAAATGAACTCAGTATTCTACTTAGTGTTACCGAAAATCCAAACACCAGTACACGCATCATGGAAAATGAAACGGGAATAAGTAAATCATCTGTCAATAGGATACTATTAAAAAATAAAGTACATCCATACCATATCCAACGTCATCAGGAGCTTCTTGAAAACGATTTTAAAAAAAGAATAGCTTTTTGTGAATGGGCAATAGAGAGCATTAATAATGAAAATGATTTTTTTGATTGTGTACTTTTTGGGGTTTCGTCGATAGGCACAATTTTCATTACTATTCCACCACCAATTCTTATAGTCAAATCAATAAATTTAAATACTTGTGAACACTAAACGTAATTTCATTTTTTTATTTAAACAATTCGGAACTGTCATATTATTCTTTTGGCATGAATTTCAAAGCCCACTTGACATAGTGCACAAAAAAATTTGAAGTTCTGTTAGCGTTTTCATTGCATTTTATATAAAAAGTTGTAAAGGTCCCAAAAAATAAATTCAGTTGATAAAAAATTGTACCAGGTACCTTAAAAATATAAACTGATTAACTAGTATGTTTAAATCAAATTACATTGTGAATTTAGTTATAATTAACCCTTTTTAACATTTCATCTAAGAATCTCGCTAAACTGTTGTGTTTAGGGATAGGCAATATTTAACTATAATTAGAGTACTTTTTAGTAGTGATATGAAATACAGGGTGTTACATTTAAAAAAATTGAGAAAATCATGTATCTGAGTTTTGACTCACCCTGTACACGTGTTGCGCTAGGAAAAAAATTAGTATATTCTTATAAAAGTAGACTATCATTAAAAATGATTCATCAAATCATTTTGATGTTCGATTGTTTGTTTTGAAATATACAGAATAAGGTTGAACCTAGTACGATTTTCATATAAAATTGGTTTAAACTTCCAAAATACCCACTATAACCTCATACATGTTAGTATTTTCTCGAAGGGCAAAGTCAGGGGAATTCAAATTTACAATTAAATACAGGGTGGTCCATTTAAAAAAAACATAGGTTTGATTAATTCTGAAGTTATGGATCACTCTGTATAATCGAAAATAATTTTGAAATGTGCAGATTAATATTATCTACAACTTTTGTAAATAACATTGTTTGATCTATAATATAGAATATATCGAACTTCCACACAATATTGGGACACCCTGTATATAATGCTTGGCGTTCTATATTATACTCTTGACGCTCGGCGTAATATAGTATTGCAACAGCACATTTAAAGTATAAAATATAACTTTTCGGTTACGGTTTTTTCCGAAAAACGACTATTTTTGAAACTTTCGAATATTGTTTATCTAATCTTATATATATCTTAATTTTAGATGTTTAAAAGCATCCAACAAATATTGAATTTTATAGTTGACAACTAGGGGTGATAATTAATTTGAAAGTTGAGCGTTTTCAAAATATTTTTATATATTTCAATAATTTCTAAATACTTCATCGATTACTACATCGAATTGTTACGAGAATCATTTTTAAGTGGCTATATTTAAAAACTTACCCATTTCCAAGGACACCAGTTTTCCCAATGGCACAAGATTTTCTCTTAGTGCATTTCCTATTTGTCTAACTATTTCACCCCTTCTAGGAGCTGGTAGATCCGCCCACAGATTCCATGCATCATTTGATGCTTGTACGCAGGATTCATATTCAGTTATGGAGCCTTGTTGTACTTCTGCTATTACTTTTCCATTACTAGGACATATTGACTGCACAACCTAAATAAATCATCAGAAACATACATTTCTAGCTCTTATGAGTAGGTAATTACGTACGGGGTGTTTCAGAATAAAGTACCGTGGACTGGGGTTATGTAAATCTTATTATGAAAGGTTAAATATCATTATCCTGCAATCGTCCCAGTTTCCATTCTACAGGGTGGTCAAGTGAATTTCATAGATACATAATTATTTTATAAATATCTTCCCTTAGGGTAAATACATTAATTAAAATATATTGTATGTTTTATATTGGAGAGTACTGTCAACATTGTATAGTTGCACATACATATTTACATTTTTCAAATTTCACCTGAGAGTGTTGAAATAATAATAAAGGACGCAAATTCGCCGCTAGGGGACGTAAAATGCTATCACGGCTTATTTAGAAAGAAACATGTTTAATTTTCCAAAAATGTCAAATTAGGTCGTGTCAAAAATGTAAAAATCATAATCTGTGCAAAATTTTAATCTATTTTGATTAACCACATCTGTTTATCACTGGTCATTGGAAATTTATGACTATATGATTTTACTAATTACTATATACAACTCGCTGGTTAAATATATTTTCCGATGTGGGGTGGACTATATGATATTGCACTCCAACACCTTAATATTAACCAAAATTATATTATTAAAAATTGGCATTATATCCTACCTCTCTCTTATAAAATAAATAAGTACTTAGTACAATACTTTCTTGTTGTACTCTTATTTGAAGACCTTTTTAATTTTTTTTTCCTAAAATTCTATGGAGCATAGTTTCTATCCTACAGCCGCCGGTATCCTTTCTTATTTGTGAAAGAATTTTGGAATACATTAAAGTAGATATATATTTTTCTCTTCATCTTGAGGAAAGATAGGCAATTAGAAAAACATGTATTTATATAATTCAGTTTATCGCTCTTTATAGGAAAATTATATTTAGCTTTTCTTAATAATTAGTTAAAAATTACCTGTTCCCAGTTTACGGTACTTTATTCTGAAACACCCTGTATATTTTCCTTTGATACACTCTTTTGATGTATGTGTAGATTTTGAATTAAAATTGATTAAAGATCAAACTGAATAGAGTGTACATTAATAATTAGAAGCTGTTAATCAAAATTATTAGATCATAAAAATTATATAGGCTGCGTGCTGGAAAACATTTTCTTAAAAATGAGAAAATACTAATTTTTCGATAAGAAAATATATTTCGTCCCCGCAATTAACGAAGCAGCTCTGGATGGTTTTGCATGTTTACTTATAATAAAATTTTTAATCAACCCTCAGCAGCTATATTAACTATTAATATTTTAAAATACAATTATTTATAAATTTTTTTAAATATATTTAATACCTATAAAAAAATATGATCTTACCGGTCCAGATCCTTTCCAGGCGCCATCAAATACCCCTAGATTTTTCTCTTTTAGTCCCAGATCCTTCAAAAACGAATATTTGGGATCATTAACGAGAAACTCTACACTAGACATGTTTCTTATTCTTATCGCTACAAACTGATTAAAAACGGTAAGCAACTTTTTCGATGCTATATTGCCGGTTAATCGCATCACTGTATGGTTAAAATATGAGGGCCGGTTTTTAAATTAACGTTTGAACTTTGTTGTATTGATATTACGATTAAAATAGATTACTGTAACTGGTTCAATTTTATTAAAATTTACTCTTACATTTGTGTTTTGTTATCTTTTGTTGAAATTATTATTGCAATAGGTCAGGAACTTTCATAATAGGTTGTGATCGTTTTAACATAAGCGTAGACAACATTAATTTTTAACAGGATAATATTATGGATGCAGACTGCAGAGAAAATAAAAGAAACTTGAATAAGAAAGAAAGGTTCAAATTGAGAACAATTTTACGAGTCGAGTAACATACCTACATAATAGATGAAAACTAAAAATTAAAAAATAAATATATAACTACCTATTAGATCCAAATGGGCATCGTTACATAATTTTCTAGAAACGGCTAAAAAATTCTGGATTTACGAACTCGAAAACTACTTTAAAATAAGAAATACATAAAGTTCAAAAAACATACAATCCAAATTTTCATATTGTAATAATTAGAAATTGAAAATATAATTAACTATTTTTCCAGAAATATTTTTTGTGCATTTATTTTTTCCTGATACTGAAGTCAGAATGTATGGGGAAGTTGCCCATTCTTTCCCCAATAAACGACAAGAGATACACTCAAAAAAGTAATTTCCAATCAGCCATTGAGGCTGCAGTGCCGCCATCCGAACCCCAGTGGAATTGGAACCCAAGCCTGATTGAGAGGGCCAGTGGCTGGAACCACGCCTGATTGAGGGGAGCCTGCCGGAACCCTCAAGGGGAAGTAGAGGGATGCGTGAAAGCGTAAAAAAATTCTTCTCGTCCTCTCGAAATGGATAAAAATGTATACTTCCTTGATATTTATTGATAAAAACAAATAAATTGTTTATCTACCTGCCATCTTTGTTAAACATTATAAAAAACTGGTTTAAATAGTTTGATCTCGAGTTTGAAAATAACACTTTCAAATGAAGAAAAATTTGATTTGTGGGCAATTTGTAATTTGTAATTTGTAATTTGTAATTTGTAATTTGTAATTTGTAATTTGTAATTTGTAATTTGTAATTTGTAATTTGTAATTTGTAATTTGTAATTTGTAATTTGTAATTTGTAATTTGTAATTTGTAATTTGTAATTTGTAATTTGTAATTTGTAATTTGTAATTTGTAATTTGTAATTTGTAATTTGTAATTTGTAATTTGTAATTTGTAATTTGTAATTTGTAATTTGTAATTTGTAATTTGTAATTTGTAATTTGTAATTTGTAATTTGTAATTTGTAATTTGTAATTTGTAATTTGTAATTTGTAATTTGTAATTTGTAATTTGTAATTTTAATTTGTAATTTGTAATTTGTAATTTGTAATTTGTAATTTGTAATTTGTAATTTGTAATTTGTAATTTGTAATTTGTAATTTGTAATTTGTAATTTGTAATTTGTAATTTACAATTTGTAGGTATTCGGAAATATACCAGTAGGTAGGTACATAAAATTAGTTATAGAAAAGTAGTTACGAATTTATTAAGATATGAAGTAATTCCTACATTGCGTCAATTAGTAAAAGATATTGGCGATTCAAGCTAAGTGATACGCCCTCTGGAGGAAATTTGTAGAAGGTCCCTATAAGTAGGATATCGTTTCAGTGTTGCCAGAAGTACCAAAATTTCGCTGTGTCGTCGGATTTTAGCTCTTGAAGAAGTGTATAAGACCTTTTATTTAAGAATCAAAATTTGTGTCTAGTAATATGTAATTATACTTTATATTTATTTATATTATATACATTATATTTATAAGGATTTTTTTATAAAATCGACTTATATTGATTTTTTTTTAAATTTCAGTTCATTTATTAAATTTGTTTTAAAATCAGTTCATCATTTGGCAACATTGGCGTTCGTGTTCATTGTTTACATTTTAATTTATATCAATTACAATTCGAGTTTTTGGTTACTTTTTAGCTTTAAATTTGTTTATATCTTATAGTATGTGATAGTGTTTATATTAAAAATGAAATCTGCGAAAAAGTCCCCAGCAAATTGCAATCTATATGGTGTTAATGTCAAAATCAAAACTGAAGTATTAATTTTCTAAGTACAAGTCGTAAAATTTTGTTTCTTATGATAAATGGATATCTACAAATTCACAATATTGAAATTTTGCAAAACTTTGTTTGGAATCAAACTGTAATCTGAGTTGTAACGGTTTTATTAGCATTTATATGTATACAGAGTACTACACAATTCACTTATTAATATAAGAATAAGGATAGAAAGATTTTTGAATAAGTTCATCAATAATAAACGTGTGGTACCTGAAATGTCCTTTAAACCACATAATAAAACATGTCCTGCGTTTAATGAATACCTTAGATAAAAGAGACCAGAGATATAACATACACCGGTTTTAAACCTGCGCAAATGTTGCCAATTTCTAAAGAAGGGTTAACGGAGTGGGGGAACTGGGCGGCGACACGCGGCGACCCGAACTCTGTGACAGGGACCGGACTTTGTTAATTAGCATCTTAATGAACTATTAGGTTTATTTAAAATGTGTTTAATCGAATTTTATATTATGAAATAAAATTAACGTGATTTTTTAATATCAAACAGATGCCACGACATTTTATGTAAAGAGAAGACCTTTTATAGAATATTTCGTTAGCGTTTATTTACTACGGACTTTTCTGCAAGAGATTACAGTAAAATGTTGAAATAGAATATATTGTTAATACGAGTATTATAAAAAAGCATGTGCGCAGGCTAATACTGCAAATCTACCCTTATGAGTTGAACATTATATTTTTTCTACGGCTATTACATATTATTAAAAATTAGTCAAAATGAGAAAATGCTGTTTTGTATTGTAACCTCAGAAAAAAGTATATTAAGGCTTCTTTCTTTAAGAATATTAATTATTATGAAGGATGAGTCACATAAAACTCTAGAAATGCATATGTCTGAAACCAGATAACATTTTAAAATTTAAATCTATTAAAAGTCATTTGGTCGCTAGGGATTAGTGATTATCGAAATAAATTATCGATCATTGAAAATAATCGATTATTTTCGATCAATCGATTATTTTCAAACAATATATTTTTTGTCATTTCCTTTAAAATCGACTACTTGATTATCTTTGAAAAATCAAAAATAATCGATTAATTAAAAAGCCAATTAACCGATAAATCAGTGTTTACAAAATATAATATAAATAGAATTATCGTTTATTTTAAATAATCGATTATTTTCAAATAAACCATTTTTTTTGTCCATGGAAACAGATTATTCGATAATCTTTGAAAAATCGAAAATAATCGATTAATTAAAAAGTCGATTAACTGATAAATCGATTTAAAAAAAAAAACAGAATAATCGATTATTTTAAATAATTGATTATTTTCGATCAATCGATTATTATCAATAATCTATTTTCATTGTATTTCCTTTAAAATCGTTAATTCGATTATCTTTGAAATACCGAAAATTATCGATAATTCCAAAATAATCGCCTAATCAAAAATAATCAATTAATTAAGAAGCCGATTCTATGATAAATCGATTATTACCAATAATCTATTTTATTGTATTTCAAAAATAATCGATTAATTAAAAAGTCGATTAACTGTCAAATCGATTTTCAAAAAAAAACAGAATGATCGATTATTTTAAATAATCGATTATTTTCGATCAATCGATTATTATCAATAATCTATTTTTATTGTATTTCCTTTAAAATCGATAATTCGATTATCTTTGAAATACCAAAAATAATCAATAATTCCAAAATAATCGCCTAATCGAAAATAACCAATTAATTAAGAAGCCGATTCTATGATAAATCGATTTTCCAAAAAATAAAACGAATTATCTATTATTTTCTAATAATCCTTTTTTCATATTTCCTTTGACATTGATTATTCGATTATCGAAAATAATTGATTATTAATTATTATTAATTATTATTATTAAAAAAATAACAAAAATATCGAATTATGTAAAATAACCGTTTATATTCAATCGATTATTTTCATATAATATCTTTGAAAAATCGAAAATAATCAAATAATTAAAAAACCGATTAAACGATAAATCGATTATTTTGAATAAATCTACTTTAAAATCGATTAATACATTATCTTAAAAAAAAAACTAAAATAATTTAATAAAAACAGCGGATAAATCGATTTTCATTAAAAAATATCAGAATTATCGATAAATTATTATTATTATTATTATTTTTGTAACCCCTATCGGTCGCTTGCTTTTATCTGAGCATTTAGCTCCAAAATTTAGAGATTCGGATTTTTTGATCCATTTATCTTTGAAATCGCATTCGATTGTATAATAAATAAATATTGCTAAATTTTGGATTTTTTTTAGTAAACGAAAATTATGTTCGAGTTGTTTAGGGGTTTGTAATGTAACATTTTATTAACGTGACTAAGGGTCGATTCCAACGTTGTGTTAAACGAAGTTTAAAATGACATTTTTACATTAACACTGTCATTTTAATCTCCGTTTAACACAACGGTGGAATCGGACCTAACTCCTGTAACTTTGGTATTTTTTTTTTGCTTATACTAGATTACTTTGTTTTAAGACTGAAAATTCAATGTCACTTTCGATTTGACCGCAAATAAGATGAACCTTGAAATTTTAAGTAGGTCATCCTGTATTTCATCTAATATTCTTATAAAAATACCTTATAAAAATAAAATTTAGCTAGCAACTATGATTCTTTACCTCTTATTTATCTACCAAAAAGGGCTAAAAACTACCTTTAGAAAACATTCTTATAAAACTACTTTTTAAATACAAAATTTCGTTAGCAATAATGCCTATATATTATTTATTTAAATTAAATGTTCAAAATTTTACCCTTTTGTAAATTTATGTAAGTAATATGAAATCTGATTTCTGATGCTTAATATTTATTGAAACCCCTTAATGCGGATCTGAAGTATGCAGCCCAGAGAATCATGGCGCTTTATGTCAAAACGTTAATAAATATTTACCGCTGAAAACGAATATATTCATAACAGTAGTACTTGTATTATAAGTAC